CTCATCTTCCATTAACAGGAGTAGGCAGTGATCAGAACAAGTTCTAGGAAGACCCCATAACTTGAAGTTAAATCTTTGCAACCACTCAGGATTTAGCAGAACCCTATCAATCCCACACCATTTCTCCCCCTCCTGAGCATTACACCGTGTGTACTTCCTACCAAGCAATGGTATATCATTCAACTCATATTTATCAATGAAGGCATTTAGTTCCTTCATCCACTTTTCCCTTATAAAACAGCCCACCCTTTCCCAATAAATCTGATCTCATTGAAATCCCCCCCCCCTCCAAGCACCATAGATTTGGAAAATCAGACTTTAATTTTAGTAAAGTATCCCAAAGAATACCTCTACCACTCACATCATTAGGAGTATAAACATTTAGTATAACACAATCAAAAGAATTCAGGAGAGTACCTGACAGGAGAACAAATCTTCTATTACAACAACAGTCCTTCAATTGAAATAAACTTGGATCCCAAATACAGAGTAATCCCCATGTTGTCCCTTTTGAATCCACTGTCATAAATTCCATGTTACTCCTTCCCCACAAGGTTCTAACTTCACTTTCTGAAATAGAAGCTTTCTTAGTTTCCTGCAATAGAACTAAGTCAACCCTCCTATCACAAATGAGCTTCCTAATCCTTCCCCTCTTCACAGATTTCCCGAATCCTCTGATATTCCATGACATTAAATTCATCAGTAAACATATGATACGCCAAATTCCCCTAGATGAGACACTGAGACCCTTATGCGATCTCCCTCCCCTTTCTTCTTCCTCTGTCAATTGATTCAAGCTCCACCAATTTCTCCAAAACTTCACTATCTTTACCATTGTATTGAATTCTCGGAATTTTACCCAGCTGAAGATTGGCTTGTGCTTCACTAAGGTTGTGCCTCCCTTTGCTTGAACCACTCTTAGTTGAAGCAGAAAGAGACAAGGTTGCTGCAGCAGCCTGAATACTGCGCACTTTCGGATAGATTTGCTTGATGGGGTACCTTTTTTACCATAAAGTCGAGCTAACCTTTTATACCCAACCTCCTTTGTGTTAGGCTTTACTGCACCAGGCCCTCTCACTTTCATCTTATCTTTCCTTTTTGACCTCTTTACTGGGTTGGAGCTTCCATTGATGGTAGTTTGGCTTGATTGCACCAAAAGCCCATCTTTCCTAGTACCAGCCCATTGAGATTTAGTTGTGTTGAATATAAATGTGCCCACCCCCTCTTCACTCAATCCATTTGGAGAATCAGGCCCATGAATATGGCCCAAATTAACTTCTAGGTTGATACCAGGCCTGTGCCCACTTGACCCACTAACACTCTTAATAAAACCAGAGGTAAATAGATGCTCATCAACCCTCTGGTTAACATTAACCCCATGCAGTCCACAGTCTGCCATCACCAATAGAGATCTATCCATGCATACCTCAATCCCCAATATGTTTCCCACGCCACATTTAGGCTCTTCGACCACTGTATTCACTTGGACACCTTTACAAGTCAGCTCTAGCCCACATTGGGTCTCTTCAACTACTATATCAATATTTTCCAGATCATCATCTTCTTCGTCAACCTCCTTAGCCATGTTATCTACTTCATTTCCAGCACCACACCCAGCAATTGGTTCTTGATTAACAGCTTCATTAGAGCTATGGACATCCTCAACCTCACTAAGTATCATACGTCCATTGTCAAATATGCTAACTGGTTGCTCTTCATACACCATGACAGGATATAGCCTTCCTTTGCATTCCATATTAATGGTTTTATTGATGAAGTCCATACACTGAGTTGCAATTCTGACTCTTCCATAACTAAAGGACTTTGCTTGGCAAATGTCACCTTCCAATCGAATAACACCTCCCCAAATGTTGCCAATCTTATTAAAAGTGTTTCTATTCCACATACTTAGAGGAACCCCATGGCATCTAAGCCACAGACACCTCTCTTGTTCTGCACATGCTCCTGGTTTCCACTCTTTAACAAACTCACACCAATCCCTACACCATTCTCTGACCAATGATAATATTGCATCCTTTTCTTCTTTGGATCTAAAGGTTACCACAACATCTCTGCCTTCTCCACTCCTGACCATTACATCCCCAATTCCTTTCTCCTTAAAAATCTTCTCAATACCATGTACAGAATACTCATCTTTGAATCTCAAGATCACACTCTTATGCAACCAACCATGACCGACTTCGTCCACCATGATAATAGTTTCAACTTTTTCTGCAAGTACTCTAGCGTTTGTTTTTATTATTTCAGCATATGACCTCTGTAAACCATGCTGACAGTGTACGTTTCTTCCACATGCGTCATTAGTACCTTTGCACCCTTTAGGCTGGTTTCTATTCTATGCTTCTTCCTTAAATCTATCATACTCTGCCATTTTAACTTGAATCTCCCTGTCCTCTACCCATAGACCATTTGCTTTAGTAACTACAACCTTTGCTACAACTGAGCAGTCGTACTTGACAAACCAAACCTGGTATTTGTGATCTTCCTCCTCTTCTACGAGATAAATACATCTTTCACTATTCCAAACTTTGTAAACAATTTGAACAATGTTCTTGGATCCATACGGGAAGGCAAATTATCCACAAACACTGAAAATAATTCAGACATTGGCTCTTTGCTCCATGTTTCTTTCCCTCTTCTTTGCTTCACAACTGGAATCCACCCTTCTTGCTTCATCAAAAAATTCCAACGACACTAAAGTTTTTCTTGTTGTTGTTGTAAACTCAAATGAAGCAATCTTCTTCTTTTGAGAGTTTGAAAGATTTGATGAGATATATTAGTTAGGACTTAATTAAGTAAAAGTTAATAAATTAGGACTTGTGTGTAAATGCCCCATAAATTATTTTTAGTCATAATTAAAAAGGTATAATAAGTCATAATCAAACACCATATAAGTTGTAAGCAAAAATCTCTTGAATCATAATCAAAATAATAATGATAATAAGTATAACAAACATCACAATAAGTAACCAACGACGTTAGTCCGATTTGCCTGAACTCATGCACCTCACTAGGAGGTTAGTAGTTTGAATCTCCCTACCTGCATGTGAAACTTATTCTCCGCGTATTAATAGAGACTTTCTCTTTGTATTTTTATTGAACTTCATTGTTATGATAGTAATTTATTGAATTTCATTGAACTATCTTATACAAATCAAATTTTAAAAAAAAAAATCACAATAAATCATAACTAATATCGTAATTAATCATAATCGAGTCATAATAAAAAAATCATAAAAGTCATAAATTTTTTACTGTGTATTATATAATTCCCAATCAATTGCATGATATTTAAAAGGAAAAATTACCTTAGTAATTTTCAAAAATTATTACACATTAACGAAAAAAATTATGATTTTAATTATTAATATAGTAAATGACACTAGCGATCTTTATATTTTAATTTTTGTGTCAAAATTTGACCATTATAACAAAATAAAAACTCTAATTTTTTATTTAAACTCTATTTTTTTCATATTAATTATCTTTTTCTTTTTTCTAATTTTTCTCGTTCTCTAATTTTTTTTAATATTATATATATATATATATATATATCTAATGCCTGCCACTTATGATTTTTTTTAATAAAAATATAAGCTTATTTTTAACTCTTATTTAAGATTTGAAAATTTTAATACTCATTTTCAAATTTCAATTCTCACTTTATATATGTATATATCTTACTCCTTTTATTATGGTATTTTCTTGCTTCCGTCTCCCTATTTTCTTCTTGTTTTTCTGTTTTGAATTTTTTATTTATTTTTTTATTGTTGTTTCTGTTTTCTCTTTAACTCATTATATATCTATTTAAAATTTATTCATTTGCTCCCAACACCCACCCCCAACCCCCCCTTTTAAGGAAGATGTAACAGAATTATATTTTCTCATCTTTGCTTCACATGTTTTTCAAAAATTGAAAATATTTGAAAACTTGCAAATAATATTTACAAAAATTCTATTTGCACACGATGTTTCTTCTCAATACACATTGTTAGAACATTAAATTTTTATTACAATAATAAAAACACAAAATTCTCTTTACACACCATTACATATAAACATATATCATACATCATCATCATCATCATCATCATCATTATCATTATCTAATACTCATCATCTCCTCCATTATAATCTAATACACTCGTATCTTTCATTGTCAACAGATTCACCTCATTCTATTCTCCATTATCCTTCTTCACCTTAGCTAAAAAAACATTGTTGCCTTTGAAGATTTAGGATTTTGAAACATTTAAATCAATCATTTTTTAAGATTTGACACCATGGATGGAATTTAAATTGTTGATTTACAATAATGCAACAATGAAAAACAGAGTTTATAGCGTTTTTATTTTTCTCATTAGTATAATTGTTGGGACGTTTTTGTTCGACACGTGTTTGGATAATCAGAGCTGGGCATTTTCACAATGTTCAATATTTACTTCTGAACAAAAATATTTTGTTCAAATTATTGATGCCAAACAATTGTAAATTGTTCATACATAAAAAAAAAAAGAACATGATGAGTCCGAACAAAATTAGACAATAACATTGGACAATCAATCAAAATTGCTATAGAAAGGTGAGAATCGCTAACCAAATCAAATTCAAATAGGGAAAACTAAACTAAGTGAGATTTAGAGGTAAAAATCATAGATTTTTGAAAGCGAGAATCGAATATCTTCACCCAGCAGTTTCCAGCAGTTTCTTCAATGTGATGTCGACCTTCAATACTTTGCTTTCTTCTTCGAGATGAAGAAAATAATGCAATTAAAGTAGTACACCCTATTTTTTTAAAAATTATCAAATTGACGTATTTTTATAAATGTGTCATATATGTAATCTCATATCCATGTCTATTCTTTTTAAAAAGCACAGATAAATAAAATAAAATATGATGATACCGAAATCAAATTTCAACAATAAACATGTAAACTCGAGTATAACATTTTTGCATATAACACAATAAAAATAGTATAGACTTGGAATAAAATTTTCATTAGGAGCTACTGAAAAAGAGTCAAGTTATTCTTTTAAATTAATACTTGATTCTTAAAAACGGTTTCTCACCATCTTTTATGATAGTATCCTACTCATACATGTATCATATTTTTTAAAAAAAATTCTATTGTCATATCCCAATCCATATCATACCCGTATCCTGTATCTAGATCTATGTTTCATATTTTATATGCCATTTTACACACAATAGCTTCTTGTGCCATGATTTGTATGTCAACCATTTTGGTTTGAAGACTTCTTCAATAGGCTCTTGCGTGAACATTTCTATATCAAACAAGAGGCTTTTTCTTTTCAAATTGGCATTTTTTCAAGGGCCACATCAAGGGTATTGACAGTAGCTCCTTTGTACTTGTACCACTTTGCACAAACTAAGAAGTACCCCAAATTCAAGACCTCCAAACCAGCAATCAAATAGTAAAAATAATCCAATCTCCCCTTGTTAAGATCCTCCGGCAACCAATTCCCCTTCCCAGCTCCACTTGTCGCACGATGAACTATAGACACAAGGAAGCTACTCAAATAACTAGACAACGCAAATCCACAAAACAAGAAAGATCCAGCTATGCTTCTCATATTTTCCGGGAATTGCTTGTAGAAGAACTCAACTTGACCAATGACAGTAAATGCCTCAGAAAATCCCGTTAGTATCAACTGAGCAATTAACCACAACCCGGACATAGAAGAAATTTCACCTTTCCTTGGTTCAATCCCCAACGTTGGCCTTGTAAGAGCCAATGTCCTCCTTTCCTTTTCGACAATTGCTGATACGATCATAGTGAATACAGCGATGACCATGCCAACGCCCATCTTCTGGAGTATTGTGATACCGTCTTCCTTTTTCGTTATCTTTCGTAGCATTGGGACTATGAGTCTGTCGTAGATGGGTATCCAAATTGTGAGGCTTACCATCTGGAAGACGTGGTACGATGCCGCTGGGATTAGGAAACCAGTGTTGCCTAGTCGCCTGTCGGATTGGAGAGCTTGGAAGACTTGGAAGGTCTGTTGTTGGACTATGGTGATGTAGTAGACGATCCCTGCTGCCCATATGGGGAGTACTCTCAATACGCATTTCACTTCTTCTACTTGTTGGATGCTGCAAAGTCTCCATGGATTGGTTGCTGAACCATCTGGTTGGATTTGGTCTTCAAGGGTGATGATTGCTGCCTTGTTGAGAAATCTAGGATCATTGGCATTTTTAGTTAGCTAGTGAGTATTGAGTAACATCTGCATGTTGCAAGATATGAACGTGACTAATATTGAAAGATATGAAAATGTTTTGCATCCTCATCATCTAATAATGCTAATATATGACCATGTGACTAATCTCGAAATCCCGAAAATCCCTTTGGATGACTCCTATTCTCACCCTTACTCTTGGGTGTGCATATCTATTATCTAGTCACATCTACATGTATGTAGTTTACATTTTTATTTTTTTCAGATTTAGATTTTGTTTTTTCATCACAAATATTGTTAATTAATATAAAAAATACTAATAAACGTTATGGGAAATCGTACGGTGCATATTATGTGCATCATATCAAAAAAATTAATTTTTATCATAAAATTTCGTAATATCAACCATAAAATGAGTAATCTTGTCACAAATTGACATGATAAAATGGCCAAATTGGTCACAATGATTTTTCTAAGGGCTTAACAATTAACAATTGACTTTTGCCGACTAAAATGCAAAAGTTTGTGACTTGATTACCACATTTTTTATTGTGTAAATTTATGATAAGATTACACAATTTATAATTGATGATATTATAAAAGTTTATGATAAAATTATATATTTTATAATAAAGTATAAATGATATACACACTTGAAAAAGGTGCACACCATATTATTTTCTGAAAGTTATTGACTCATTTAGGATCATATCCGACAAGACGAAAGAATTTGCCTAATGATTGAGACTCTTCTATATTAGGCGTGATTCAGTCTTTTTCTTCCAAAAAAAAAATCTACCAAACTGATTAAAATAAAAAATTACGATACGAATATAGATACAGATATAATTTACAATTAAAGTAATTTATTGGCCACTCTGTTATTCACAAATTTTGGTCAATCAATGACTCCTTTTGATGATATGTATGGATTAAGAACAGGATGATCGAGTTGTTGACTAATTGAATAAAATCTAGGCAATATTATTATTGATTGCCTAATAGCATCTCTAAAGGGATAATTAAAAAAGGCTTGTTTTAACTAATATAATTCTAATTTTGAGTTCTAATAGGCTGACTATTGGGCTAGCTATTTTACCGTTCTACTTTTTTGGTAGTTACAATTGAAGAGTCCTAGAGGCTCTCCAAACAAATATGTATGTATATATCTTGAATTTTTGTATATTAATGTCTTGGATTTGGGATTTTATATATTTCATATATGTATATGTGTATGTAGCAATTTTATATGTTCTTTCCATTCTATTTGATGAATTACGGAATAACTTATTTTGCATTTTGTATTTTTTTTTCTCCTCATTCTACAGGTTTTGTATGTTTGTATGGACAAATTTATTATGATTACAAATTTATATTAATAAAATATCAGCAATTAGTATTTTTTGTTTTAAAAATTAATTACGTTAGTTTAAATGATTAACTAAAATAAAGAGTGTTGTTGAAGACACAATAACTAAAGTAATTAGATAAAATAAAGTGTACTTTTTTTATACTTTGAAGACACAATAACTAAAGTAATTAGATAAAATAAAATGTACTTTTTTTATACTTTAACTGGTGAAAAGTAGAGAGTGTGCAAGATATGAAGTCCTCATCATCTAATGGAAGATAAGACTGTGCACCTAATGTCAATCATCCTAAAATCAACAATGATTTGTAAGAAATACAAAAACCAAAACTAGACATAAAGAAAATATGAATGAATAAATTTGGGAAAATTATAAAAAAAAAAAATCTTGAGAGTTAGTTTTGTAATAAAATAAATTCTGAAATTTTAAATTTTTTTTTTCAATTCAACTCTAACTTTTTTATTTATTTTTCAATCTAAATTATTTGACTATTTATATTAAGTAAAATAAAAAAATAATATTTTAATAATTAAACTCAATAAAATAGATATTTTAGATATGTCAGATTTTTTATGCATCCTCATCGTCTAATGAAAGATAAGACTACCTAACGTCAATCATCCTAAAATCAACAATGATATTAGAAATACAAAAACCAAACGCAAACTCGACATAAAAAAAATGTATGAATGAATAAGTTTGGGAAAATTATAAAAAAAATAAAATAAAATAAGAGTTTGAGTTTTGTAACATAACAGATTCTGAAGTTTAAAAAAAAAAATCAATTTAAATTCTTTTTCTTTTTTTTTTTTGTCAATCTAAACCATTTGGCTATTTATGTTAAGTAAAATAATAAATAAAAAAATTGGTATTTTAGTGATTAAATTCAATGAAATTGGTATTTTAGATATTTTATGTATACCTCCATTGAATTTAATGGCTAAAATATTTTTTTTTAATTTTTTCAGTCAATTTTATTTAACCAAAATAGGCGAATGGTTTAAATTAAAAATAAATAAATAAATTAGGATTAAATTGATAAAATTGAAAATTCTAAGTTTATTTTAGCCATCAATGCATTTTTTGTATTCAATTCTATAATTGTTTTTTGTTTTCATAGACTTATTGTAGAATCAAAAGGACTAAAAATGACCAAAAATTACCTAAATTCAACATGTTTATAAGTGGACTTATTTTTTCGACATATATATATTCTTTCAGTAAACTTTTTCAGCTTTGAGTCAAAAAAAATTATTGTTAGATTGCTCTAGACCAGAAGAGCCTTTTTTTTAAAAAAAAAAAAACCTAATGCTCAAAAAGGACTACTAAACATGAAAAGTAAAATAGTGAACCCCTTCTAATATTAATTTTTTTTATATTTTTTATTTTTGGATCATCTTGTCTATACTAAAAAGTCAACCCAAAAAAAAAAAAAAATAGAGAAGAGAATCAAATTTAATTTTTTTTGAAAGATAATAAATAAATAAATAAAAATAAACCAAATTATTATAAGCTGCAACATGAGGAAGTAGAGTTGGTTATACCTGAATTGATCTGAGTAAGGGAGCTTGGAGTTGATAGAATTACTAGGAACATGGTTAAAAAGAGAGATCAAAGGTTGTTCTGGTAATTCCACTTTCCTTTTCTTAATTGCAGCCACTATAACCTGCACCACACTAGTCAATGGACTACCCTGTGGAATCACCATGACATAAATTCTTGTACCAATGAAGAACACAGCACAAGACAAGAGCATGAGGAATGTAGGAATAGCCAATCCCAAAGCCCAATTCACATTAGACTGAACATACACAATCACTGTCAATGATACCATCATTGCAAAAGTGAATGTGAAATAGTACCAATTGAAGAAGCTAGAAATTGCCCTCTTTCCAGATGCAGTTTTGGGGTTGAATTGGTCTGCTCCAAAGGCTAGGTTACATGGTCTTATGCCACTGGCTCCAACTATTAGTAGTCCAAAGCCACTTAGCAGGAAAGTCATTTGCCATGGGGTTGGACCTATGCATGAGGACTCCTTTGATCCACAGTGGGGGGGATGGAGGGTTGAGATTGCGGCTGTGAGTGTCAGTATGAGCATACCCTGTAAAAGATGAAACAAAATGGAGTATCAGAAATGCTATGAACCATAAAAAAATATTTCGAAATCTACCTTAAAACGACTTGTATGATGTAGATTTAAAATTGGTGGGATGTGAGTCACACCTAAAATGATTGTGATTCAGAGATGTGTTTCATTAGTATTTTTTCTGAGTTTGTAGCTTTGTTAAATAGAGTATTAGATGTTTTAAAAAAGCAACAATTTCCTTCTAGTTCTCTTAAAAGGATTGGATGATCCAGTTCAGACAAGTCGGCTCACTATGGTCTCACTTTAATAATTCAATTCATTAATTTTTTAGAATTTTGTGTATAGAGTATTCATTAAAAAAATCAGATTAATTTAATAATTGTATCCGCCTAATTTAAACATATTTATCTTGTAAAAATGAATAATTTATTTTTACAATTATATTTATTGTTTATTTTTTTGAAGACGTGATGAAATCGCATGACTAAAATTATCGGATTAATCTAATTTTATTCTTTTTATATATGAATGATGTTTACATTGGGACTTCAAAAAAATAAGACATCAATCATTAAAATAAGACACGTGTTTAGCCCCGGGCTAGAACTAGAGCCCATCTTTTGTGTAACAAAAATGCTTTAGACCTCTAATTTAGAGGTATCACTAGTGATGTGGCAGTGGGTCCCCCACTGCCACAGCCAATCATGTGTCTTGATTTTTTTTTGTTTTTTTTTTTTTGCTTTTCCACCTCATTAGAGGTGGATTTAGAGATGCCTTTTTAGAGGTCTCTAGCATTGTTGTTTGTGTAATTGGTAAAATGGCGTTGGTTTTGTTCCGCTTCTTGAAGAAAGACAATGAGAGGAAATCCTAGTGTTAGCTGAGAAGGTATGAGAGTGGAGATCTCAGCAAACTATTGCTTGGTTTGGAATCGTGATTTTAATTTAAAACTTAATTCAAAAATTATTTTTAAAATTTATAATCAAACACACAACTCAAAACTTAATTTAAAATTTTTTTTCAAAATTCATAATTAAACTCTTTTCAAAATTCTAATTTTTTTTTTTTTAAAAAAAATCAGTTTTTTTTTATTTTGTTCTTTAAAATTATGTTTTATTTTATATTTTTTTGAAAAAATATAAAAATTCAAAAAATATTTTGTTTATTTCTTTTTTGAAGAAAAATATTTTTTATTTTCTTATATTTTTGTTTGAAAAAAATATTATGTTTTTTTTTTTAAGTGTTGGCCAAATAATTTATTATGATTTAGATATAAAAATTTTAAAAAATTATTTGAAATATTAAAAAAATAAAAACATTTTTAAAAATATTTAAAAATAAAATAAAGTATTGAAAATAAAAAATAAAAATATATTTAAAATAAAAAAGTACAACTCATTTTAAATTTTTAAATATTTAAAAAATATATTTAAAGTATTTAAAAAAACATACAGAGAACACATGTAAATACAGTGCACATTAAAAAAAAATATTTACAAGAAAAAATATTTACCCTAACAAAATAAAATTAAGAAAATTTTTAAATATTTTAAAAAATAAATCAAAAAAAAAATTAAGCTACAACCCTAAACTTAAAAATTAAAAACTCTTTCCAAAACTCATAACCAAACAAATTTTCTCTTTCAAAACTCAACTCAAAATATAACTACGTATTCAAATTATGATTCTAAAACTAAACCGAATTGAAATATTTTTGATTCAAAAAACAGTTGAAAGGGAGTTTTTAAAATCACATTTGGGTTATGATGTGTTGCATTTTTGTGTACTAAAATAAATAGTTTTATTTCCCACAAAAAATAGAAAGAATCACAATCTACAAAGTACCCAATGGTTTGTTGATGAATTTAGATTGATAGTTGCTATATGTCATTAAAATTTGAATAAATTACAAATACATACTTACGATTTGATTAAAATATAAATTATTACTATAATTTAAAAAATTACAAATATTCTATTATTAAAATTTTTTATTTAACAAAATTAACAAAAAAAATGAAATTTCTAACTACAATTTTATCAACAATAAAATTATCAGAATTGTTGATTGAAATATATTACTGATATCATTAAAAATTATTAATTAATTTAATGATTTATTAATTAAAAAATGGTCATTTGTGATGCGATTATAAACTTGACGGGTAGAATGTAATTTTTAAAATGACAAAAGACAATTCGTATTTGAGTAATGCTACAGATAATACTTTTAGACTTATACTTTCACTCACAATGATGTGGTAAGAGAGTTATGTCATACATCATTAAATATATAATAAATTAATTTTCTAACCGCAATGATATGGTGAGAGAGTTACGTCCTATATCATTAAATATATAATAAATTAATAATTAACGCATAATATCACATCACTATAAATATATATATATATTTGGGTGTGTTTCAAACATTTCTCATGAAACAAATGCTGTCAAAAAAGAAGTATTATTGCTGAGGACTTCCCAGGTGATGCACAGCTGTAATGGATATGGACCCTTTTAATTTTTGAGAAATCCACCGCCGCAGTTAGTTAGTTAGTTTGTTTGTGTGTTTTTCTTTTTTTTTAGGGAATGGCTTCTGTCCAGTCCTTAGTCGGATTGAACTGTGTTGTTCGGCTTGTGGAGGCTCATCATGGGTCTCGTTTTGATAATCTGAACCGTTCAATGTGTAGAACTCGTCGAGTACTATATGCTTGTAAAAAATCACGTTGATCGGATATCGATAGCTATGTGATCAAATCAGATTTTTGTCAACCGTTAATTTATTACCGTCCATTTTTTTTATACAAAACTAATTTGATCACAAAGCTATCGATATCCGATTAATGTGATTTTTTATAAATATATAGTACTTGAAGAGTTCTACACATAAAACGGTTCAAATTATCAAAACGGGACCCGTAGTTAGCCCTCACGGACCCAACAGTACGGTCCAATCCGATTAAGGACTGAACAGAAGCCATGCCCCTTTTTTTACTTGGAGGACCAGTAAATTTGTAAAGGGGTATTTTGGTCATTTATTATCCTCACCACATCATTTTAAATACATTTTTCAATATACTAATCTAACAAAAAATTCAACCCATCTTTTCAAATGCAAGAATTAAAATAATCTACTAAAATAATTAAAAACTCAAAAAATTTAAAAAGTAATCAGTGTGTTTGGTTTGAGTTTTCTGGATTAAGTTTTTTGAAAATTGAGTTTTTTTACTTTCGTGTTTTTTTGTTTTTAGTGAATATTTTTAAAATTTTAAACATTTTTTTTACCTTTTTAGATGTACCTTAATTAGATATATCTAAAAAGTAAAAAAATTGTGAAAAAATATTTTAAAAAATTAAGAAATACATAAAAATACAAAAAATGTACTGAATTCTTGTATTTTTTTTATATTTTTGGTATTTAGTAAATTTTTAAAAGATTTTTTACAATTTTTTTATTTTTTAGGTGTATTTATGTTAGGTGTGACTAAAAAGTAAAAAATTTGCATAAAATATTAAAAAAATTCTGTAAAAATAAAAAAATACGAAAAATAAAAAAGTAGAATTTTTTGAAAACTATTTTTAGAAAATGGGAACCAAGCAATCATTTTCTAAACGAGACAATTATATTATTTTCCATTCAAATTTGATTGAATTCTTATGTCGCCACGTCTTAATTTTGGCTCTTTGCGTGAATCTGTTTGTCATTGTTGTCATTATTCTACCACATATATGCTGCTGGTTTTCTTCCTTGTTTGATTTATTTTAATTTATTTTTTTCAGAATTTCTTCCCTTGGGTGGTCTTATGTGGGTGGAATTTGTTGGTGAAAAATGTTAACCATTCAAATATTTGTATACCAAAAAAAACTTTTACACAATGATGCCATAGTGAGAATCATCCCTTCTCATTTAGGGACACATACATTTATGCAACATATCACAATCTGGTAATAAAAATACAAGTTAATTACATTTATTACCTTTGGACTTTTATTGTAATCTCATTTCAATCCTTTTAATTTTAATGTGATAGTCAAAATCTTACACTTTAAGTCAAGTTATAACAATTAAAATGAGATTTTCATAAAAGGCTGGAGCTTGCCTTCCGTCCACCATCTAGACTGGAAGATCCAGTCCGGCCCATTGGGCCTACTTTTTGGCCCCTTTTTAACAATTCAAACCGTTCACATATTCAGCTTTGTTGATTACATTGTCCTTGTAAAAATTCACGTCAATTAGATAACGGATACTATGTATTCGGAACACTTTTTATGAACCTTTAATTTTCTGGCCATCTATTTTTTTCCAAACAAAAGTGAACTGAATAGATAGTATCCATTATCCGATCGACGTGATTTTTTATAAAAAATAATATACTCAACAAACTTTAAAATATGAACGACTCTGATTATCAAAAAAGAGCTCAAAAGTGAGCCTAATAGGCCAAACTGGATCGGACTGTCCCAGATGTAGACTGGAGATAGTCCAGACCCTTGATAAAAATATAAGGGTGTTCATACGATGAAAAATATTATATCTGGAGATAGTCCAGACCCTTGATAAAAATATAAGGGTGTTAACACGATGAAAAATATTATAGTTAGTTCACAAGTCATTAACGGTAAATGGATGAAATTGTGACATTTGACTTAAAGTGTAAGAGCATCCAAATCAGCATCTTCAAATTTTTAGTCAAATTAGAGCTGAAAAACCTATTTTGCTATTTTAGCTAATCACCCACTGCATCAAACTATATATTCTAACTCAATCATATTAAAATATTATTTTGTTATTGTATTTTTTATTCTTTTTTTTTTATTAAATTGATGAGCAGCAGCCAAATAATTCCTAAAATATGCCCAAAAAAAAATAATAATAAAAATTGTTGTTGACCGGTCGACCAACCAAGCTAATTTTGACATTTTTTTTCTTTTGCTACAGGCACTCACGGGACATTTGGTTGGATATCTAAGAGGACATCCGGGTGGATGACCGATTTAAAGATTTTGGCCCAGTTTTGTTCTAGAAAATATAATAAAAAAACATTTAGCGAATGAACAGTGCCTCAACAAAGTTGTTGAGGTACTGTAGTAAATTTAACAAAAAGTTAATTTAGAAAAAATTTGTTGAGACTGATGGAGGGAGAATTTGATGATTTATTAGTTATATTTTAGTTTTTTGTTATTTTGATGATCCTGATGCAGATGCTCTAAGAGGTTGATTATCATAATTGGAAGTAAATAAACTAAAATAAAATTAGTACGGAAGTGTAGAGATGCTAATGGTCATTAACTCTAACAATATTGAAAGTTTTACAAAAACAGAGACACAAGTGGAGACGGATCTATGATTGTCATTGTGGAGGTGTAAAGGCTCCATTTGGGAATAGTTATTTGGGCCTTTTTTTTGTTTAATTTAGTCACAAAAAAATAAAATATGTTATTTTAGTCACAAAAAAATAAAACATCACATCTAACTCATAATCATTACACTATTCTCTTACAAAAAAAAATTTAAAAATCTAAAAAGTTAAAAAGACCTTCTCAAATCAAGTTTTTTAACTCAGGCTAAAATAGTGAAAAAAAGTCAAAAAGCTAAAAAACCAACCAACTTTCCAAACGACAAAGTATATTTAAGAATATAAATTTTCAAATTTTTAAATTTTAAATTTTTTTTTTAATATAATATTTGATATTTTTGCGGGTGTGATCGCCTCTACCCGCACCCCCTAGATCCATACTTATTTTTACATTAGATTTAATAGGTGTGTTTTGCATACTGAGAAAGGAAAGATTGGGATCGAAAGGGATAGAGCATTAGTTACCAAGAACGAGGAGATAGAAGCAAATCCCAGAGTTTTGTAACGGCCAAAGTATGTATCAGAGAGGAAAGCTCCAAGGAGGGTTCCAAAGTTGCAAGTTCCATTGAAGATGTTGATCAGATTAGTTGATGTAATTGTGTCCATGTTGAACACTGTTGTCAGGTACACCAACAGATTCGATGATGTCCCTAGTGTTCCCAGCTTCTCAAATGTCTCATTTCCTGCAATTATTATTATTATTATTATTTTTAATGGGTGGTCATCAGAAATTAAAGAAAATTAGAAAAAGAATAAATAAAATAAAAAAATAAAAACAAAGACAAACTTGATCTTTCCATCTCCTTTCTAAATCACCTCTCAATTATGAAATGAAATTTAAAAACAAAGACAAACTTGATCTTTATATACTTTTTTCCTTTTTATTTCTCTTTCTAAATCTCTTTCTAAATCTCTTAACTAAACACAGACAGCGTAGAGGGGATTATTATGCTGGATAAATATGTTTTGAGACAGAAAGAGAGAGAAAATGAATACAAAGCATTCCGGGTGAAAGGAGGAGCTCCTCTCTTCTCCTAAGTATGTGTGCAAGTTGCAAGCACACGTGCATGTAGTAGGCCAGACATCTTTTGTCTTTAATTTTTATTTTTACTTTTTTGCTCATAAAATACTTTGTGTAATTATGCAAGAATCTCAAGAGATGAGTAAACTGTGAATATTTTAAAACAAAGACACTGATAAATTTGGAATAAAGAACCATGCACGTGACTGCTTGTGTGCCTAAAATGTGTGTGCATCTCTACTTTGTAAATTACCTATAACAAAGGGCATGGCTTTAAGTCCTCTGTACTTAGGCTCATCACTTGTAATTTCTTTCTCAGTGTTTTCCATGGCTTTTCCTCTGAGAACTCTCTCTCTCTCTAATAGAATTTGCTATGGTTTTGTGCTAATTAAAGAAAAGGGCTAGATGTTGAAGATTTATATAATAGAAGCTAGATGTCAAATGCTGACATTTTTCTAGTAGGAACACTAAAATATCACTTTATCTTTCTCTCTCAGGCTAATTATTCAGGCGGCTGTGATTGAGACCCTATCAATCACCAAATTCCATTACCTCCGCACACATATGAGAGCTGGTGATTAGAGGAAGAGGAGAAAAATAAAAAAAAATAAAAAAAATAAAAAAAAAATTTGGCCAATCACAAGCCTAAAGGGGTCGTGAGGGTCCCTCCTGGAGGGAGTCCGGATCATTTTTCTTATTCAGTAGGGTATATTACAATGGTATCTTTAGATTTTTTTTTTATCAAAATATCATTTTAGTCTCTTTATATTTAATTATAATAGTCAATCTTTTACGTTTTAAAAATATTAAGTATAATTTATCTTGTTCAGTAATTTTGGAACATCATATAACACTATAAGCACTTTTAAAAAATCATATAACATTTTTGTAACTCGATAAAAGTTCATTCAATCAATTCATTGTATAAATTATAAACTCAATATTATAGGAGATCTTAGACTATTTAAATGAAATCTTATCGTAGTGGATTTTTGAAGATTCGAGGCATTCAATAAAAATTTGCAAAAATAAATAAAATAAAATAAAATAAAAAATTGAATGCCTTAGATAATGATCCAACCGTAATTGTTGACCACTCAGAGCATCTTCAAGGATAGTTAAAAAAAGTTTCACAGGCATTTTAGCCAACATAATTTTAATTATGAGTTGTCATGGATGGATTATTGGGCTATTTATTTTACCATCTTATTTTTTGATTGGATACAATTAAAGAGTCCCAAAGGTTTTTCAAATAAATATGTATGTATATGTCTTAGATTTGAGATTTTATATATTTTATATATATATATATATATACTATTATTAAAAGCCAACAACTACTTTGGTGTCATGAAGCCATGCTCTGATAATTTTTTACTAATTTTTCTAAAACAACCTTAACTTCTTCAATAATTATACTTATTTTTAAACTCCTAGCAATTTATAATTAAGGATAAAATCATAAATTATTAACTCACAAAATATAACTTCCCATATTGAATAACTTCCCATCAGTAACTTCTTTCAACTACTCCATCCCATACTCTTCATTACCCACTATTCTCTTCCCCAACCCCTCAGAACAACAAGAACCCATCTCCCTTCTCTTCATTCCACGCCCTCTCCCTCCTCAAATTTACCCCCAATCCATTTCCTTCTCTCGCCGCCGCAAAGAAAGCCATAGCCGTCCTAAGGGCAACTCCAAAGTCGAAGGCGTTGTTACCCTCTCCAAGACGACGGTAGTCATTTATTTTTTTAGCCCCTTCACATCTCTAAATTGAAAATTCACAATTTTGTTTATTTTGGATTCAAGTTAATGTATACAACAATTTTATATATAAACATGATTATACAAGAAGATTATTTCGTGCTCGTACAATTGGCGTCGTCTGTGGGAAGCAATCACAAAGAACAAACCTCTTGATTAAGTTTTCTTTCAACTGATTTCAATGGTGCACAATGAAGACTTGCCACACTCTACTATTGATGGGCAAAGCCCAGAGGGGGGCGGGAGGCGCAAAGGCTTGCCTTTTATCCCGCCCATGGCAAAGTTAGATCCCCAACGACGGAATCCGCGAAGGGACACACGAGAAAGACGGGGCATCAGTCCTCGTCGCTCCCAAAAGCCTGAAAGGCAGAGGCGGAGGTTGGATCCTCAAGTTGTAGAAGATCGGGTAAGGGAGCAAGACGAATTGATACGGAGGATGGCAGTAGACATGGAGATAATGAAGCACCAAATAAAATGCAAAAGGGTGGCAACAGAAGAGGAACGCAAAGGCAACACATGCTCTTACCACTCAGAAGATCGTGACAAACAAGTCACACCATCACAAGTTGAAAGTAAAAGCCTTAGGTCAGGCGATACACACTTAAGGACTTCCAGGACTCATTACACCAGGTCTGAGAGAACGAGGACTGAAAGGTCTTACACGAAGAAAAGAAATTTTCGGCCCTCGCATTCGCACTAAATGAATTCTAGGCACACAGAGTTGCCTAGGTCGGCAGACCTACGGATAGTGCTTGAGGAAATGGCTCAAAGAAGAGAAGACATTCAGGCTCGCGACTCCCGCAGAGTCTCAGCACTGTAACAGTTGGCTCCTAGAACACATGGGAGTGTCGAGGTTGGAATGCTAGAACCCCGCCTTGCCTATGAACCAGCAGACAAAACGTTAGCAAGGTTACAAAGCTCGTCGTTCGTTTCGGCAATAGAGAACGCACCATTACCTTCAGGCTTCAACCAGCCCAAATTCACTATTTATGAGAAAAAGCCGGACCTCTACATACACTTGAGCCACTTTCGCTAGGTTATGGCAGTGTATTGGCAAAACGAGGCTCTAATGTGTATCCTGTTTACTTCTAGCCTTGGTGACCTGGGTTTAACGTGGTTTGAAAGGTTTCCAGAAGACAACATAGCTTCATGGGCACAACTAGCAGAGGCATTTGTGACCAGATTCAGAATGAACACCAAAACGCCTGTGGAGATTGACCAGCTTCTCTCCATAGACATGGGCGAGAAAGAAACGTTGAGGTCTTACAATAACCGGTAGTGGGAGACTTTTAATCAGATTGGAGATTGCCCCACAAACCTAGCTATTGCACAATACAAACGAGGTTTGCCGGTTGGCAATAAATTGAGGGATTCAATGACGATGACTCCACCCCTCACAATGGAGGCGCTAATAAAGAGAGTGCATTAGCACATTCGGGTAGAAGAAGATCTCACAAGCACCAAAGCAAAAGCTGGCACAACAGCGATGTCAGACAGAAACCCTGTGGCAAAAGTTAACATGGTTAGGCGAGAAGAACAACCGAGCAAGAATGGACGGGGCAAACAAGCCAACAGAGACGACCCCCAAGCAAGGAAGTTGAGAGTCCACACTGCCATCACCACGGTATTCAATAAACCCATCTACCGGATTCTTAGCGAGATACGTGACGAACCCTTTGTTCGGGCGCACGGCCAAGTTGGGAGAAGCGCAGAGGGGCTACGATAATAGGCACCGTTGTACCTTCCATGATGAAAAGGGCCATCGAACTGAAAATTGCATGCCATTGAGGCAACATCTAGAGGAGTTGGTAGCCGCAGGCCACCTGGACCAGTATATTGAATGGGGGGACACAGCCAGCCCCCTAGGACCACAACAGGCCGGATGGAATGCCAGTCGATGGTTCGCCCCAAGGCATAATCAACGTAATACATGGGATCATTAAACCTGAACGGGTATATGAACTCAGAGGAATGATCAAAAAGGCTAAGCACTTGAGAGAGGTACTAAGTGCACAACCTACCGTCAAAAGGGAAAAAACGGAGGCAACGAACATCATCTCCTTTTCTGACAATGACTTAGCAAGGTTACAATACCCTCACAACGACGCACTGGTGGTTACTTTGCGTATCAAGAACTTCAACATCAAGCAGATTCTAATTGACTAGGGGAGCTCCTGTGAGATAATGTACTACGAGACCTTCAAGCAACTAAAATTAGAGGACAAAGACTTGGCATTTGCAACATCTCCCTTAGTGAGCTTCAACTCAATGCCAGAATGGCCGGTGGGCAAGATAATTCTACCAGTCAAAGCAGGAACGATGACGAAACAGGTGAAATTTTGGGTAGTGAAAGTCCCTTCCACTTACAATATAATCTTGGAAAAAGCATGGTTACACACCACGCGAGCGTGGCATCAACCTACCATCAGGTGTTACGGTGCCCCAATGAAACCGGAGTGATTGAAGAAGTCTTAGGGGACCAAATCATGTCGAAGCAATGCTTCGTTACAGTAAACGGCAGTCAGGCTGCAAAAGGGTTTGTACAAATGGTAGAAGAGCCAGAAAGCAACGAGTTGTTCACAGCCGTCGGCAAAGCAGCCAAACAGAAGGCAGTGGAAGACTTGGTAGAGGTAAGGATAGATGAAAAGAACCCAGAAAAGTTCTTTTTGTTCGGTTTGTCTCTGTCCAGCACTGAGCGAATATAGATCATGGAATTTTTTACCTCTAACATCGAAGTGTTCGCTTGGATGCCGTATGACATGCTTGGCATTGACCCCAATTTCATCTACCATTAACTCAATGTCCACCCAACCGCCAGACCAATTATACAGCGAACTCGCCGATCAGCACTCCACCACGTAGAGATAATAACGGAAGAAGTGGGAAACCTGCTGAAAGTAGAGACAATCAGAGAAGTGCACCATCCTATGTGGATTTCTAACACTGTAATGCTGCCCTAAAAAAATGGCAAATGGCGCGTTTGCATGGACTACGAAACAGTTAACGAAGCATGCCTAAAAGATAGCTTTTCCCTACCAACTATGGACCTAATAGCAGGGCATAACCGACTTAGCTTTCTTGATGCGTATTGCGGTTACCATTAGATCTCTATGTATGAACCAGATCAGGAGGTCACGTCATTTACAACACCCAGAGGACTATATTGCTACAAGGTCATGTCTTTTGGCCTAAAAAATACAAGGGCAACATTCCAACGGATGATCACTAAAATATTCAAACCATTGTTAGGCAGAACAATGGAGGCTTACATAGATGATATGGTGGTCAAAAGCAAAGACAAGGGGGACCACCTCAAGGACCTATGTGAGATGTTTCAAATTTTGAAGTCCCACAAGTAGCGACTCAATGTATCTAAGTGCGCATTCGGCGTGGGGTCAGACAAATTCCTAGGCTTTCTAGTGACCAACCGGGGTATAGAAGATGATCCCTCTTAGATCAAAGCCATCTAAGATCATGAAAGGCCCAACATAGCCAAGGAGGTGCAACATCGCATTGGCTTGGCAACCACACTAAACTGATTCATAAGTCGGCCGTCAAACAGGCGTCGACCGTTCTTCTAGGCATTGAAGGCCAAGTTTGAGTGAGATGATGAGTGCGACCGCGCCCTGGAAAGCTT